TGAAATGAGTGAATTCCAACTCCAGAGTTTGATCACAATGGTTCAGTTCCCATAAAGCAATGGAAATATACATTTCAATTCTTAGTAGGGCGAACAGCGCTTACTATGATTCTCAAAGATTTCCATGAGTAGGATCCACTGAAAAACTTGACTTCCTTAGGCTGTTCACAAGCAGCATTTGACGTGATCTAGGGTTTGTGAGGTGCCATCTAAAACTATGTATATTTATTCATTACATAATTACATTCTCTCTGATAGCCCTATTCCTGGGCTGTTTGTTACACGAGGAAGTCCTACTTGTTCATGTATTACTGAATGAGTTAACCGGTGTCTACAAAAGTAAACTGAAGTAGAAAAGTAAGCCATTCTCTTCTGGTAATTCTGAGTGGATGAAACGTCTCAATAATTTTATTGTCAATAGTACTTGTTTGGTCAAAGTATTCAAATAGTTGGCTCAGAGCCCCCCTTCACTGGTCATTTGTAGACACAGAGAAAACTGACCAAAGGTCTATAAAGAATCAACTCATAGTTTCATCTCAGGGAGACAACACAGGTGGCTTCCCTTGATTTTCTCATTTCTAAAATGCAATTCTATCAATCAGTGGACAACAAAATGAAAATCAAAATTAGACTAACAGCAGCTTGTTTTTTTGGGGGGGTGGGGTGGGGGGAAGCATCTCTTAACAAACATTTGTCAATGACAATGAACACAAACAGTAATCTAAAGCTATATAAATTACCCTCAAACCTAGGTGAAGTACTCAGTACAAATAAGTTCTTAAAATTCATTTGGTTTCACACAGGTCGGGTGAACTTGATATATGTAGTTCTTTCTGCACAAGGAGGATATTCTCCTTCAGCCCATCTGACCATAGTGACTAATCGAATGAGCACTAGAAATGAGGCCAAACCTTGATTCGATGCCACTTGTCCACATAACTGAATGGCTGGGGCCCAAAGCTCTCAGCTCAGTACCCATGAAGAACTAAAAATCAGTTTTAAAATACTACTGTGACACATCTCCTGTGGCACACATGCCATTTAGTCTAAGGGGACTTGTATATGCATCACACCTTAGACATAGACCTAAGAGGACAACATTCTTGCACTAACAACCAATACTTCTCTTCCTGTACACAAACATGCCTTACACCTGCTTGGTCAATACTGTTTGTTTATATTTTCTCCCTTCAAATCAGCCATGAATCAAAGGACTCATTTTTCTCAACCACCATTAACTCTGGTGAAGTGACTGATGCGAAGTTTGGTTAACTTTGAGAAAACCACATAAAAATCAAAATCCACCCCATAAATGCCTAACCACTGTGTTATCTGTCAAGCTGACCATGGATTACAGAGGTCCTGAAGTTGTTCTAAAACTGTTCGAGAAGATAGCTAGGGTAGAACAGTAATATCTGCTTGTCTGTCATGATGACAGATCCCAAGTGATTCAGAATGGTCTAGAATCAAAACATGGTGTTCTTGGCACTGCCTGACGATTCTCCTAAGGTGCTGTCAGTTGAAAAGAACACAGATTGCTAAGATGTTTTTTGGGGGCAAAAGCATCTCTTAACAAACATTTGTCAATGACAATGAACACAAACAGTAATCTAAAGCTATATAAATTACCCTCAAATCTAGGTGAAATACTCAGTTTGGTTACGGCTTTATTTCGTATGAAAAATAATGGAATGATATACTTAACAAACTCTGGCTTCAGAAATACCATTATAGCAAACAATTTTATTAATACTTTCATAAAAATGGCATGTAATAAAGTCTCTCTAATACTTTGAGATTATTAAAAGCAAACAAAAGTCATTAAAACGATTCCTTTTGGTGATTTACATTAGCGTTTATAGCATTAATTGATTTTTGTCTTATCAACTAACCTAAAATACTAATAATCATATCAAGGTAAAAACAATACAATGTATTTTCTTTATTTCAAAATAGTGATTATAAATACATTCTTAATATATTTTCTCCCCAGCCTCTTTGGATGCGACAATAACAAAACAAAACAAAACAAAAACAAAACAAAAGAACTCACTGTGCTCATTTCATACAATGTCAATGTACAAATCATGCAAAAACATGTTTATTACGGCCATACATTTCTAGGTGTGTTCTGTTAACTCTGAAATACCTGCTGATGTTACTGATAAGGCCATGACCTGTATCATTTATGGCTTTAAAAAAATGAAATGTTTGGAATTTTTTAAAGCAATGAAAGAAAGCTGGTCATAAATGATTTTCAGGTGAATATATTTATTCAGTTTATTATTCAGAATGGAAAATTAAATATCGAATATAAATTGCCTTATAGACTTGGATTACTGTCCTTTAATAGCTGCTTTCTCATAAAATTTCACAAAGATTTACTTTTAAAGAATTGAATCATCTTTATTGATTTCATAAAAAAATAATTGAAAACTTGATTTATATTACACTGACACAATATATTATCTCAACCCCTTCACTGATTCCATAGATCTAATTTTCTTCCCAAGCAGTCTAACAGAGTCCGCTCCCAGAAACACAATGCCAAGAAGTCACACCACCGTACAAAGGAGCTTTTCTTGGAGTTTTCGAGAGCTGAATCAAAGTTCTACTAAAAACGCTGTCCCAACATATATCATTCTTCAAGGGGTTAATTAAACTAAACATCAAGGTTATAGTTGAAAACCAATAAAATGTAGATACAATATTTCAAATGCTCAGGTACGCAACTCAAAACGTATGTCTAACTACATTATCAGAAAATGTACGAGTAGATTTGATGATACCAGTGCAAAAGAGTATACACTGTAAAATGTAGGCACAATGACTTTAGTTAAGGAACGTGTATCTTAACTGATGATTTGTTACTATCATTCATTTACAATTAATTAGAACCGCCAAAGAACCACGTATATTTAAATTACTTTTCTTAAAAAAAAATAAAATAAATTAGACATTTATACCGTTCAGCAGAAAATTAAAGATAGCCAATATGCTACAGCAAGCTTTGAGATGGCGGCAGGTACTTTTGTTATCGACAACTCTGCAGAAACCCCGAAACATCTTCAAAGCATCACCACATTGAATGAATACAAGGCATCACTCCAATGACCTATTCTCCCCAGATCACGGATGGAGGTTTCCGGTTCCTCCCAGAAGTGTCTACTTAAGATTCCTCAATCCATATTTCATTGACAGGATAAACTAAAACACCTTCTTTGAAGCTTTTGCATTTCTATCCTGTCAGTATGCATTAGGAGCCAGCCCTTTAATCCAGGGATGCATGCATGCCTGGTAATGGCATATTAAAAGTCCTTCTGAAATTGTAGATGGAAACAAGCTGCTGGGCACACATCTTAATGTCTTTTCAAGATCAGAATGCAATGATTTGTTTGAAGTTTTTTATATTCATATAAAGTTTTCACAGACATTGTCATGAAACATACACGTGGAGACAACTTTTTTGTATGATTAAACAAAACAAAATCCTCCTATTTAAAAGTATGCATATGTACCCAAACACAAAACTCACACACACACACACACACACACACTCACAACTCCAAAAATGCCAAGTTTTTAATCTTGGCACAAACACAAAAAGCCCTGAAAATTAGTAAATAATAAAGGGACTGCTATTATAACTAATCCATAATATCAATTTGGAAGGTGCACTAAAACATCTGCTACTGGAAATTCATGAAGAACATCTACAATTACCTTCTTGGTCAGCTTACTGATTAATGTAATAATTCTAAGAGATGGAACACACACACGCACACACAAAACATTTATGCAGACCGCCCGAGAAAGCAATGTGTTTCTGGATGTCATTTTGCTAATAGGGAGCTCCGAAAAAAATCTTCACATATCTCCCATTATCAAGTACTTCATTCCTTTGACTGTGTCTTGAAACCTAAGAGCACAAGCAAACACGGTGGCTTATCATTTGTAAGTTGCAGACTGTGAAGTCATCTGAGACCAATGAAAGCATTTTACAGTGTGGCTTTGATAGCGGAGATTACCATGATGTTTACTGTTCTACTTGATTATCTGATAGTAGTTGGAATGATGAAAGAACAGGATACTGATGCATACGAGATAGGACTATTAACCTTATGCATTAAGTTTTTTAAGTACTTGTAGTGAAAACTAGTTGAATTAAGCTCATAGAATCCTGAAAAGCAAGACAACTGATGGCAAATAACTGCCCCAGACAAGATACTATAAAACTAAGGAACTTATTTTAAAATGCACAATTGGTATAACAAATCTGAAGGTAATATGCTAATTTCACAAGAATAGCACAGAACTGTTTTTTTGTATTTTTGTTTTGTTGGTTTTTTTTTGTTTTGTTTTTGTTTTATAAATTATACCTGTTCACACTGTCCGGAATATTTGTATACACATCAGCTGCAGTTTCCGTTTGGCATTTTTTTCTTTTTTTTTCTGTCTAAATGTATACTTATTGATAAATTCACTGTGATCAGGAAAACAAGTCAGGCATATTAAGTACATATTAAGGAGTACATATTTTCCTATTTAGTATACAAAGAACTTCATAAATATGAATTATGTTACAAAAATAGCTTTGGGTGCGCTCACACGGTAAGCACTTTGCTAATTTTGGACAACCTTTAAGGATTGTGGGTATTTCACATAACTGAGAACAAACTGTAATGTTAGTTAATTTGAGCCATGTTTAATTCAGATCACCACAAACGCTAGGTAACTCATGTTGATTTTTTTTTCCTCTTTTAGGTTTTTTTTTTATGTATAGACAGGTAATGCTTACAGTGTTCAAATTTATTTTAGAGTTAATGTAATGCATGTTATATTTGAAACAAATATTTGCACAATTTAACATTATAAATCCAGCGGTTTCAAGATGCAGGCCATAAAGGTTACCGATTTACAAATACTATCGATTGTTCTCTCTGCATGCTTTTTTTTTTGTTGTTGTTGTTTTGTTTTGTCTTTTTTTTTTTCTTTTTTCGACTTTTCAGATTATCTTTACACAGAGTTGTTACAATGCCACAAATCAAAAGAATTCTTCCAGTTCCACCAACCTAATCTACGTGCAAGATGAAGGACCCAGCTGAGGTACAAACTACTGGTACCAGTTTTCTTGAATTTGCTTTCCAAAGCACAAAGAGACGACGGTTTTGCATTGGGGTACAAAACAGGTTTGCCTCTTGAGGTTAAATTCAGTGTATGATGTGTATAAAGCATCCCTTTGGCAATAGAGTTTGCAGTATCCCCACAGGACTCCACAGTATAGGTTTGATGTAGTAAAATCTAGTAAGGAAATTCTCTTTGACTGGATACATCTCTGCAGCTACAGTTAATGAGACACCCCTTGGAAACACCTGCCTCTATGCCTATTGATAATATAGTATTTGGAAGTGAGAAGTCAACAAAAGGCACTTTCATCATGAAATAAATGTCCTCTGTATGAATTAAGACTGCATGACCTAGATCTTGTTCAAAGCTGTTTGCTCCTCCAGGACCTGTAGGTAGTCGGGGGAACTCTGAAGTTTTGCTTTCAATTCAACATACTCGCTCTTCCTCTGCTCCACAACAATTTTACTGTGGTTGCCGCCTATTAGTGACTTCTTGTTTTTTTTATCTTGCTGTTTTTCAGGATAGCGGATTTCAAAACCACTGACACCTATGCTATTGTACTCCTTTTTGCTTTCCAGAAAATTCTGGATAAACACATTGGAATCCCGGCTAGGGAATAATTCATCCAGCTCATCGATGGTGCTCAGTCTCTTTCTGGTATCTACGTGTAATAAATCCTTCTCCTTCTCAGCAACATTTCTCATGATGACTTTCTGTCCTGGCGGATCAGAAAACATGAAGCCCGTTTCGGACTCCTTCAGACCACAGGTGTGGCTCTTGCTCATCTGCTCTATGGTTTGTGGAATGAAAGCTTCTGTGCTCAGCCCATCTTTTTTGTTGGTTTTGTGGTCGTGTTTCCTCAGCTGCAGCTGCATGGAGCCACACTCAGGGTTGCCCAGGCCTTCATGCTTCACCGTGGGTTTCTTGTTGCGCCGTAGCACAAAAACAAGGAGGCAGAAAGCAACAAATACAGTTAAAATGAGGACCACTAAGATACTTAAGATTAAGATAGACAGCGGCACCGGGCCCCCCGGGGGACTCCGAATAGGACCCAATGGCGTGGTGAGTGCAATGGCGGGTGCAGGGCTCGTGAATGGTGCGGATGGCTTGTTTAAGAGTTTGGGACACAAGATTTCATTTTTGAGGGATTTCAGCTCAATGTTGGCAAACTGCACAGGCGTCTCACATTTCAGCTCTTTCACAACGATGCCATCGTTCAGCTTCTCCAGCCACAACTTTAATGCCACCAGGTCACAGGTGCAGTCCCACGGGTTGCCCTCCAAGTCAATCTGGGTGAGGGCCTGCAGCTGATCGAGTACCCCGCTGACAGGTAGGTACATAAATTTGTTGTTTCTCAGGTTCAGTCTAGCAAGGGAGACTCCAGAAAAGATGTAAACAGGCAGGCTCTTTAAGAGGTTATTGTTTAAGTACAGTAACTGCAAATTGGGCATGGAGTCAAAGGTGCCTGCTAAGATTTCCTTAATCAAATTGTATTCCAAATACAGGTACTGCAGGTTGTGAAGTCCTGAAAAGATTTCGGGATAGAGTCTTTCTATCTGATTGCCGTTGAGATACAGCCGGCGCAAATTCGTGAGATTGTGGAAGACGTCTCCCTTGATCACTGTGATCTGATTGCTTCCTAAATGGAGCAGATCCAGTCCTTCAAACTCAGCGAGATCAGAGACATCCACATCTTTGATGCCATTGCCATTGACGTGCAACTTCTTGGCATTCAGAGGTTTCGGTATCAGTTCAGACATGGACTGTATATTCTTCTCTTGGCAGTTGACGCTCAGTCCCAAATCTGAAGGATGGGTTTTGCAAAAGCAAGGTGCCGGACAAGGTGTAAGCGGGGGCACCCTTGTTTGGTAAGATACGATCTGACTGAGGTTGCGGTTGGAGAGGGCTTTGCCGGCCACAATTCCGGAGATCTTCGAAGGATTTGTCGTTTTCGGTGGCTTGGTCACTAATCGGTGTAGGGATGTTTGGGTTGTGTGCCCATTGGGGGTGGTGTAGCCGTTTTCTAGCTGTGATGGGGGCAGGATGCGGACGTCAAAATCACTGCCTGTACCCATGGAGCATAATTCTTGTTTGTTGGTTTCTTTTAAAAGCCTTCCATATAAGTCACTGGGAGTTTCGCAGATCGCTTCCCCTATGTAAATGTTATATGGCATATTCTCCAGCCACGCTTTTAAAGGCAACAAATCACAGCTACAGTTCCAAGGGTTATCTTCCAGTTGCAATTCGACAACACGGCCGATGTGCTCCAACACTCCGATGTAGGGGAGCTTCTGAATCCGGTTCCCTCGGATATCCAGATGGGTCAAAGATGCAAAGCGGAAAATATTATCAGGAAGGAATGAAATCAGATTGTCATTAAGAATGAGAACTTTCAGTTTGTGGAGCTTATTGAAGGCTCCGCGTTCAATATACTTGATTAAATTGTAGTCAGCCTGGAGATACTCCAAGTTCTCTATGCCAAGGAAAGTGTCAGCCCGGAGAATCTTTAATTCATTATTGTTTAAGTGTAACTGCTTTAATGCACTGAGCCCGAGAAAGGCTCCTCCCTCGATGTTCTGCAGTTTATTATTTCCCAGCTGCAAGGATACTGCGTGTGAAAAATTCAAGAACGTATTTGGATAGAGGATATTTAAAAAATTGGTTTGGAAATTGAGGTGATAGAAATTAGACCAGGGTGGTTTCAGCTGATTTGGTCTGTAGACTGAAAGCTTCTCACAGTTGACATACAGCACATTCTCCACTGACACACAGGAGCACACACTGCAAATTTCCACCGATAGGTCAGCATCTGCGTTGGTCGAAGGAACCGGGGCTGACAAAATCAGAAAGAGCCAAAGAAACATCTTCTTGCAATCAGCAAACAACTTTATGCTTCTGAATAAAGAGAAATAATCTAAAAAATAAAAAGAAAACATTTTTTCAATGGTCATGACTTGAAAGAGGACTGCGTTTAAAGCATACCATATCTTGAACAAATGGCTATAATTCTGAGCTTTTTCTTTCTTTTGAAGGCTCCAAAAACTCCAAGTAGTCTCACTTGCTGGAGTAACAATAACCTCCAACAATACCTTACATTTGAATTCAGTCCCCATAGTTTATGCGCTCTTACATGTACACAACACACAACAGTCAGTGGTAAAAAAGATTATTAATCCTAACCATCTGAAAATATTCTCTCTACCTGGACCATCCAAACATCAACCAGGAGCTTCCTAGCTGCAACTCAGATGACCCCAGACCACGGAGTAGGCTCCTAGCTGAGGAGGGAGCACAGCAAAGGCATTTCCATCTGTGACTGTCTATTATCTAGGATGAGTTTGGTAAGAGGCTGAGCCCAGAAGATATGAGAGCCCTGACTCCCGGGGAGGATGCCGATGGAGGGCTGGGTTTTCATAGCGAGGTTCAGTTAGAAGACTACGGTGGAAGGAGTCTTGGCAGGAGATCTGCCTGGGCTGCAGTTCATACCCAGTGAAGCAGTGTGCCGTGAGTCAGTCCACTCCTGTACTGCTAGCTTCAAAAGCACAGATGACTCTGTGGGCTTCTAGAAAAATCAGTTACCGAGGGATGACCACATTTTATTTTCAGGTGAAAGAAACGGTATCTTATTTTCCTGTTCATTATCTCTCTTATGGGGAGGTGGGGGGGGGGCCTTTTTTTTGTCTTTGGGCCCCAGCTCCACCCTTCCCCTCCCCAAACTGGAGGGGAACTTGCTTGTTTCAGCATTGCCTAGCTGAACTCCAGGCAGCTTGTCAGTCCTCAGAAATAACTGGCTCTCCTGCCCGCCTGGTCCTCACCATCTGCCTGGTCCTCTCCCATTCCTGTAGGTACTAATTTGAACACAGGTTCACCTGGCACTTGACTCAAATGTTTATCTCCTTGACTTTGACCACAGCTTGCTGTGGAAGAAGAGTTCATGAATAGCAGTCTTGATATGTTCTGTTTTGCCTTTGATTTATTTCCTGCAGTGTCTGATCCTTTCAGCTTAGCAAATGTGGCTCCTAAAATGATCAGTTCCCTAACACCCACCTCACCCCAGCATCACCACCCCTTGTTCCTGTCTGTGAATGAGTGGGGGATTCTTCCTTGGTAGAGAGTTCACTGCTTAGCAAATTAACCCAGTGCCAGCAATCCCATCCACAGGGCATACATACACAAGTATAGGCAATGCTTCCTGGAAGAGGTTAAACAGAACACAAGCAGCATGCATTTCCTTGATGCCATTTGGGGCTATGGGTGTCTTCTCCACAGTGAGTAGAAAGCGGGTTGCCAAATTCAATATAGTCACCATCAAATATTAAATAAATAAAGTGCCCAGGAACACACATACAATGAGGGAATGGTACAAAAAAAGAAATGCCATGCAGCAACTCCTTTGTTTATTTGCCCATGAGGAATCAGCCAGGGGTAAAACCAAATTTGTCTCAAGGTGGACAGTCCATTAGCCACCAGACCCAAGAAGATAGGCATTTCAAGTCATTCTATTCAGAATAAGGTGGGTACTGCCTACATTCAATTGGGCTGCCAAATACCCTTACTTTCTCCCTAATTACCATAACAGCAGGAGTGGCAGTAGCAAAAGAAGGAATGATTCTGAAGTATGACATCACCCAAAGCAACTTTCATGTAAAATCAACATTCCACTTGATCCTTCTGACTTGCTACTGATGTGGTTTTCACCAGCTAGCTACTCCTTACAGTAGTCATTTCTTGTTGCTAACCCCCTCCACCAAAGAAAAACAAACCCAGAAAGCAACCCAACTCAGAAAACCAACACAAAACACACACAACAAACAACAACACAACACCCTGAAAATCCTGCATTTAGCTTCAAAACAAAACAAGGCATAGCCACAGATTTGATTGCATAATGAACTGCCCTCCTCCTGGTAGTTTCCACTTTAAGTAGCAAGGGAGGTGGAGGGGAGGCTCCAGGCTGAGCTAGGAAGTTCCCAAATGCAGCTGTCCGGTGGAACCTGGAACCTGGAACCGAGGAAGCCAGGGAAAAGGCAGTGATCTTCCAAAGAGAAGGAGGACTGATGGCGTGAGACCATGGGGACATGGAAAGAAGAAGCACAAGACGAGGAGAAGGACTAGGCGAGGAAGGGAAAGCGGCTTGGACTGCAGGAGAAAGAATCTGCACATTCACGTGGCATCAGCAAAGCCTGCACATTTAAAAATCACGGGCAAGAAGACGTTCCGTTCAGTATGATTGAAAAAATTTGGAAATAGACAAGGGTAATGATGGCACAACATAATGACCATACTTAAAAGTCACTGAATAGTACAAATGTGCAAAATGTTGAAATGGCAAATGTTTGTGTTTTATCGAATCCATCTGTATCTTTTTCTACACTAATTTTAAAAAGGTTCTGAAATTTTTCAAAACCTCTTACCCTCACCTTGCTAAACTCATTGCACAATGTAAAATACAGAATCAAAGGTAAAGCTTCTTTTGAATGTTATTCATCGAAAAAATACGAAAGTTCTCTACCTACATTCTACCTCGGTGTGACAATGGGGGAATGTACACACCGCGATTCATTAATGGGGAAAATATATTGCCAATAGGACGATTTTTTTTTTTTTCAAAGCTGGGGGTGGTGGTGGTAAAGTAAAGCAAAACAAAACCAGAAAACAAACCCAACAACAAAGTATGAGTTGGGCATCAAAAGCCATTGCTCAGCTGAGGGTCTCTCTCACTGTGCCCAGCAAGACGCTCCGCTCCCACAGGCGGGCCGGGAAACACACACACACCTAGCATCCTCACCCCAGATCCGGCTCCCCTAGCTCGCAACCCGATACGCTGCACCTGTACCAGCCACCCGGGGCGGGGGTGGGGAACCCTCAGCAGACGCCCCCGGGCCGACCCCCGTGCGCTCCCTCGGGTCGGCGGCGCAGCGGCTTGGAGGGTGGCTGGCGCGGGCGCGTACCGCAATGCTTTGCCGCATCCCTGTGGCCGGTCCGGGGCCACGGTCTCCCAGCGGCGGCGACGGCGGCACGGGCGGCCTCCAGCCCCACTGCGCACCCATAACCCAGCTTCACGCGCCCGCACCCCACAGGCCAGCGGCGGGAGTTGCCGTCCGCCTCCCCGGACCTGACAGTGAAGGGTGATGGGGGCGGGAGGCTGAGGGGATAGCCCAGGGCGTTTCTTCCCCACGGGCAGCCGGTCCAGTCCCGGGAGTGTCGGGCCCGGGGTGCCCTCTCCCCCGCCAGCACTCTGCCTGCTCTCGCCCAGCCCGACATCGTCGCAACATTTGGGCACCTGGCAAAGTCGCGCTGCTCGCGCTACCCGGCCGTGCGTGGCGTTCAGAGTTACCCGCCGGCTCTTCTCCTCTCCCCGTCTCGCCGGCCGCCAGCTGCCTCGGACCAGAGCCCCGGCGCCCCGTCCGTGGAGGGGGGCCCGCGAGGGGGGCGCCGACAACAAAGCCCAGTCGGGGCACCGGCCCGCCGCCGTGATGCTGAGGACGCCAAAGTCCCTAGATCCTCGGGGACTGGCGACCTAACGGCAGGCAGGCGCGGGAGCCACCGCGGCCGCTTCGGCCACTCAGTCAGCCCCGAACCCACACGACGCAAACTAAAAATAATAAGCTACCTGCCCCCCTCGGCGCGCGCGCACCCGGGAACACACATACAGGCGCGCGCGCGTGCGCTCGCGCCGCTGAGCCTGGCAGCCGGGGGTGCGGCGTGTGCCGCCCCCGCCGGAGAGGCACCCACCTCCGGGACCGGCCGGCTGAGCCGGGCTCGCCGCGATCCAGGCTCGGTCCTCAGAGCGCGCCCGCTCC